AACAGAGCTACTTGTGTACAATAATCTTCGCTAGCCAAGGGTTTACTCTCCTCATTAACCCCTGGCAAAAGACAGGATTGTTTACGTCACGTGATCTGGATTCTATCAGGTACGCACAGATTGCGTCATCGATAGAAATAAAGACACGTGTTTAAAAATTTAAATCAAAGTTGTTTTTTTTTTCAAGAATACTTAAGAAGCAATAATTGAGTTATGTTTATTTATTATTTATAGTACATATCTGAAGCTTCAATATAGATTCTTAAGCACATATTTAGAAGATAGCGAATGACATCATAGTTATTAATATAATTGCATGTTATCTTAAGGATCGTTGTTTACTTGCGTTTTTCATTTCTGAGATTAAAGAGTCAAAAAAATTAAAGAACGCAAATATCGTCATTTACAAAAAACAATTGCTGATTGGTTGACCGCATACACCTAGTCCCAATCAGAACTCGAGAAAAAAAAGCTCTATCAACTTCGTATACCAAGGGTTTATGAGGAGAGTAGGGTATCAGAAACCCTTGGCTAGCGAAGATGGTGTACAATCTATTTAACAAAATTGAAAAAAAGAAGAGCGGAACTACATACGCTTCAGAAAAGCGTAGCAACATTTATTTAGATTCAGATTTATCGCCCGGTGGTCTGAAAATAATATTGCTTGTCGTTCATTCATGTTTTCAGACCATGGCGCGAGCTAAAGAACTGCTGATAATGTATATACATGACAGGTACATATTTCTTAAAGTTATTTATATAACTGGATTATATTCAATTAAAAAAAAATAATGCAAAACAACATTTCTTGTCGTTGTTTATCATACTTTGATAAACACCCCCCCACTCTCTCTCTCTCTCTCTCTCTCTCTCTCTCTCTCTCTCTCTCTCTCTCTCTCTTGGAAGGGAAAAGGAAGTCACACTTTTAGAATTTCTTTAAATTTGTCCTATATTGTTTCTCATCGGCCTTTATCATTAATAGACACAAAAGCGCAGCATTGTTAAGGCTTGAAAAGGGGGCGGGGCCTAATTTATACGGGAAAACACACAGAAATATGACTTTTACTTATTTCTCCTGGAAATGAAATAATTTGCAACTTTTAACTATATTAGCATAATGAACAACAATATAACTTATCAATGCATTAAAAAAGTTGCTAGTTAAATCCCAAGTAGCTAGTTATAAACAAAGCACTGATCGCGATGAATATTGGTAAAAATGACGTATTACATGTGCTGTGAGAGGCAGATTGTGGAATTTTTTAACAATGAAAAATGCGTTTTATTATTAAATGGAATATCATTTACAGGTTTTAAATAGTCGATTAATACGAAGGTATATCCTTTGTTTAGTGCGATTATTAATTAACTACCGAGAGAATTTATTTTATTAATTATGTCGTGTTTTTATGTACAGATTACGTATATTTTACATCGAGATGCCTCATAAAATCGTGCTTTCGGAAGGGCACACACTGCATAGATCCGAACCATTTTTTGAATATAGACAAAGGATATTTTCCTTAACTTGAAAAGTGCTGCTGCTTTCTTTAAATCGAGGGCGTGATTTTATAAGTACACAAAATATTTGGTAAGTCAAACATATTTCGAAGTTGGCCTATTAACTTGAAAATTTAACTCTAAAAAAAAGAATTCTATTCAAAGTATATTAAAGTTCTTTGAAATTAAAACAGCTTAATAAGAATAAATTCAATTTTTTAAAAATCCCTCTTTTTTGCTCGTCTATTTTCCGTTGATTTCTCCTAGTAGGCCTTAACAGTTCAGCAAGGTTAATTTGTATAGTATTTAATATTTAAGGAATCACTGCCTAGCTAGTACACCCCTAATCTCTAGACTGGAGACTTTAGGAAGTCTGGAGGTTAAAAATTTCGTCATGAGAGCCATGTTTTGAATGGAGATTTCAGTGAATATTTTTATGCTGGGATTAACCTGCCTAGACGGTAAGCTATGTAGAAACATAGACCTAAAACGAAGAGACTGCCGACTTATGACGTCACAATCACTATCTTCTTGCGCTTGCAAGGTGAGGGATGTATAGAAACAGACTTCCTGTAATGAAATCAATGTTGTTGCATCATATTTTTTTGCATTCTTTAAGGAAATAACGACAAATTAGAAATTTCAATCACTTATCTAAGCTTTCCATGACGAAATGATCTCGACTGACTTCTTCGGAACTTATAACTTTGCATATTCAAGAAATTAGACTGACGTAGTTGCTAGCGCTCGAGAGTGCTAGCAATAACTGACAGCCTCCTGGCGGCCCCAACCCCATCCCAACTTTTTTCCCAACATTACCGGTACTTTACAATTGAAAACGTTCATTGAAAGACACCCCTCCAAGTTATACTACGGTAAAGTTATATAAGGAAAATATAGTATTTTAAGCCAGTTTTTTTCATTGGCTTGTCAACTTTTCCAGGTAAGTAAAAAAAAATATTTCTCTGGTTGCCCCCCTCCCCCTTCATAAAGACGATGCTACGTACCTTGCTATTTCGTATCGCTTTCTAGCAAGGGGCTAACAGATCCTTCATATGATCGCTAATTATCTAAATCTTTTCCGCAAACCCTTTCCTTCTTTTACAATTTTTAAATGCAGCGTGTGAGTTGATCTTTATTTTCTTGGATTAGCGTAGTCCGCGGAAATTATGCTGCTGTTGAAGAGTTCCGATTTTGAGGGGCGATAACTCACATTTTCTAAAATGGGGAATAAACGTTGTAAACATTTTCAACATCTTCTCGAGAACCACAGGGTTAATTTAAACCAAACTTGGTACACAGTATCCTTGGGAGAGGGGGGGGGGTAAATTGTTAAAATGATGGGTCTAGTCCCACAACAAGGGGAGATAATCAAGATAAGGCAATAGGGTGGGATCATGGATCATATTCTTTTTGCATGTAAGAACCACTGGACCAGAAAAGCTTAAACATATGTGGAAGATTCCTGGAGTAGTGTAGATTTTACGTTCTCCAAATTATGATCAAAAGGGGGAAAGGGGGGTAGGACAGGTCAAAAAAGGTATTACAATGATAAAATCTTAAAGGATAGTATGACCATAGTTACTCGGGTGAGCCATATGGCCCATGGGCCCTTTTGTTTTACTTGTCAGGGAATTCTTAGTAGTTGAAAGTGCCCCCAAACTGAAAATGTACGGCTGCCCTCCCATCTTTCAACTTAAATTGCTTCCAACAGTAGCACATCACAACAAATACTTGACTTATTTATGCAAACATTTATGCAAACAAGTAATTCTTGGTTGTTTTCCTGCTCCCATATAGTGAAAAATCACTTAAGATATGTCTTGGGAGAAGCTCGCGATCGTCTTAAAACAGGGACTAAGAATACATGTATGAAGTAAAAGGTCCTCTTATACAGGACAGATTTTATGGTCTAACTTAAGACTAAGATTTTTCGTAAGTTCGTCGAAAATGATGTTTTAGTCCTTATACAGCTTCATAACCTTGCATGTAGGTCTTGTGAATTTTTTTTTTCATTATCAAACGTGAATATTTACATGTATGTGACCCATGATTGCATTTAATTTGCATTGCAAGCTGAGGAAATGTGGACTAGGTGTATGACGCTCCCTAAACATGTGAGAGGGAACGGGTCAAAATTACGGAAGATCCTAGCTTTTTTACACTATTTTTTATTCACTAATAAATTGAAAGTGATCACCTTGTGAAATAAAAAAAAAAGAAATTATGAAGTCTGCTTGTATAAACTCATAAAATCATCATTACACTGTGCTAAATATTCTAGATATAAGAAAACCTTCTAAACATCGGATAAATAATAAGCAATTAAATCTTTATACCAATATTGGCATTTTTTAGATATAAAATTTGATTCAATATACATGTATAAATTTGATAAATCTACAAAATTAGGAAGGGGGGGGGGGGGGGGGGGTCGTACCCCCCCCCCCTCCGAACTGGCTATGCTCTTTTTTTTCCCGAAGCGGGGGACGCAAATTTTCTGACTTAGCTTGTTCCAATAAATATTCGTTCAAAAACTATATACAGTATATATTTAATATAATTGAAATCTCTTTTTATAATTAAGTTAATGTGGTAATCAGATTTAAATCTATGTAAAATACGTACCATTTCCCTTTTTTGAAACATTGCTATCATACTAGTCAAGAAAGCTGTATTGAGTTACATGAAAAGAAAAAAAAAGTGAAAATGAATTTAAAAAATTACCTAAATTATGGAGATCCTTTAAACTATAATATGCATCATATTTAATGACAGTGTTTCTCAATATATGTTCACTACACTTTGTAGATCAGTTCTCCACCCTGACTGATGACGAGGTGTCCGTGTTATTCTGTTTTCTGTGTTCTGACTCCGGCCCTCCTGACTTCACTGACACAGAGTGGCTGGACATGCTTAATGAGATACGACGGACTGTGTACCGTAAATATAATCCTGTAACACGTGAGGAAGCACAGCAGACTCTGGACAGACTGAAGTCACGTGATTACCTTTGGGAAGATCAGGATAAGATAACAGAGGACACAAAGGATGAGACAATGTATAGGATAGCATCAAGAGACAGTGTTATACCATTCTATTACAGTAGTTATGACACAGCCAGTGTGTACCTGAGATCGTACAGATACAACAGAGAACCTGGAGAGAAGTGTGTCACTAGTCCTGGTTACTGTGATGACTTACTGATACGCCGTCTACAGATGAACATACTGACTCACGTCACTATGGAGGACACGGGGATATATTATGAGATACACCGGAGATGTGAGTCAGAGTAAAATAATTCTAAATTGTTCTATTTTTTCTTCCAGAATTTTCTTTAAATAATTGGATTACATTTTAAAGAGTTAAAAAGTTATCAGTAGAAACATTTATACATTTAAATCTCTTTCTTTTTTGTAGTTGCTTTGTAGTAGCTTCATCGATTACAATTTAATGCTACTAGATTAGCATATTATAATAGAAGTAACTGATCGAATATGTTTATTAAGGTAGATCGCGGGTTTACTGTCTGCCTGAAAACATACTCCAAAAATTTGTCAACTTAATCCTCTCGATTCAAATTTTACTTTCTGAAATTTGTGTGAGATTCGTCTGCGTGGTTATATTGTTATCGTCTTTCAAAGGCACTAATGTTGATGAGAACTGGTGACGCTATTACAATGAAATATATAGTAAATGCGCCTTTCTCACCGGTAAACGCATTTCAAAACCTTGCTTATTAATTAAAAACGGCGCAGACGAATTTTATATTACTCAACACGATGAATGTGAGATAAATTTCGAATCGATCTATTAAAAAAAATTAATATGTGTTCTCGCTCATTTTCTTGCAAAAAAACTTTAAAGTTTTACAAATGTGTAGCTAACGTATATAATTTCATAAAGACGTTATATAACGTTAGTGCGACGTCATTATTTACGTACGTCTCAGAATCACAATGTAATCAACAATTCACTGAAAATAAAAACTGTTTTATCCGCATTTTCAATTTTTCATTGATTGACAATAAATATTCATGTAAACATTGTCATAATTTACATAAATTGTCAACTTTTTTCAATGAAACACGGAGTCATGTTGTTTGAATCTATTTTGACCTTTCATATTTTACCTTTATATTAACTCTTAATTTAATTTAGTATTGATAAGATATTAATTAATCTTTAATTTTTTATTGCATTATTAAATAAATATTTTTACAGACAAAACACGCTTTAATGTTTGTTTTATTTTATGCTGCATACTGATGGAAATACTTTTTGCTTGTTTGTAGTTTAATACTGTAAACGTAGTAAGTTTTTTACGTCGAATCCAATTGTGACGTCAGCAAACCCGCGATCTACCTTAAACCTATAATTTGAATGTTTGTATATATACATAATGGTATTACAGTGTAAATGTTTATTATAAAGGATATTTTTTTTTTCTACAGTAAATATCCCAGAAAATATAATTAAGGGTAAAGATGAAGGAGAAGAATTTCTAACGGAACTACGAAGAGAAGGGGAGGCTGTACATTACAGAGAAAGATCACAGGACAGTGTAGATCACGTGACGTGGCTCTGGAGATACAAGTTAGATGCGAGACCTGACATCGTGAGATCCTGTATAGGTCTACATCCACACTGGGACATCTATATCATCGACAACAAAACCTATAGAAAACCAAGTAAGAAAGTTTGATTTTCTAGAAAAAATGAAGTTAGTTCTTTAGTTATATGTGTGCATTCGGAACTATATATAACTCAGTTTAAAATTAGTTCTTTAGTTATTTCTGTGAATTCGGATCTATAAATTTATATTAATATATTAACTTAGTTCATTATATTTGATACATGTACCCAAGACCTTGTATAAAAAAGTGATTTATAGGAAGTTTGCTTAGCCTGTTGTCCAATCTGTTCAGTAATCTGAATAAATATTATCTATAAATCTACCTGTATGTGTAGACATAAAACATATAATTAGGTAATAAATTGCTACATCAGAACATGCATGATTTGTATCAAACTCTCACGACTATTGTCGGCGGCCAAGTTGAAAATAATTCGGAAGAAAAGTAATGACTACGATTTGACTTAGTAGACATTTATAAATTTGGCTAATAAAAAATTATAAAATTTACCTTGAACAATAATTAACGCACCCCCCCCCCTCCTCAAACTGCTTATCCACGAATTAATGCAAAATTATAAAATTATCTTATGAATATAAGTATATGACAAAAGTTGATCACTTGCAGCATACTTACTTTCTGTTACAAAATTATTCAGTATGTGAGAATCAGTCAATCACTTTCATTTTCATTGTCTCCAATTTACAGACAAGAAGAGTGTGTTTTAATTTTTTTAAGTAAAATAGGAACAATAGGCATGGGTGTGTATAATTATTGTTTTAAGTATGTACAACTTTGTTAGTACAAATATACACTCAAACATTAACAGTATTACAGGAAAATGTTGCAATATATTTTTTTTTCTAGAAGAAGGAAATTAGAAGGGTACCTTGAGTGTAGAGCTCATACCACGAAAAGAAATGCGTCAACACATATTTTTTTACAGCTTAATCTTTTTCTTAAATATTCCAGTCCATATTTTTTTTTGAATGACGGAGATTGGCCTGTGAAGCATATTTTCTCATATTAAATTTTGATACGTTAGTCTAACAAAGTGCATCTATTTATAATAATTCATGCAAAACAATGATTATATATTGTTGACTAACATATTTCTACTCTCTTTTGGGTATTAAAGTCGAATATTTAGACTTTATTTCATTTATATACAACAAAATCTTGGATAAGTAAATTTCAGTATTTTACATTTCGGGGTATATACTCCGATAGGTAATAGCGGAAAAGTGAACATGCTGACATATGATTTTTCTTCTGTCTATCCATTGCTGGGATTTATGTCTATCTTTTAAAAGCAGATTTATTTAGATTGAGCCCATTTAGTGCAGAGTATAGAACTACCTTAAATTTTGTAAAATTAAAATTGTTTCAATATTAATCCAAATTAAAATTATTCTCTTTAACAGGATTTTCATTTGCTTTTATTTTTCTATTGTATGTAAGTGTACATGTATTCCGAATTATTTATTGTGAAAGGTGGTGAACATGTTTCAGGTCGTATAAATTTGCTATCTGATACCACTGACAGGAGTTATCTCCCCATAATACGTACGAGTTATGTCGCGTTACAAAGGCGATATACATGAATTCCTTCCCTCGTTTTAAAAGTGTCACCTTTATCCTTCCATGGACCTTTTGAATACAAGTAGATTTGATATTGCTGTTATGCCTTAAAACAATCGTTTCATTTTTTAGTGCAAAACATATTAGATCAACTTTGTGAAAATGTTTCAGGTCGTATAAATTTGCTATCTGGTACCGCTGACGGGGTGGAAGACAAGAGTTATCTTTCCATTATACGTACGAGTTTTGTAGCGTTACTAAGGCTCTTACATTGTAACCTCATTTTAAAAGTTTCACTTTTATCCTTCCATGGACCTGTTAAATGCAAGAAGAGTTGATTGTTGTTATGCCTTAAAACATTTGTTTCATTTTTTAGTGCCAAAGTTAGATCAACTTAATTTAATCAGGAAGCATTTTGAACTATTTAAAAAAAATTCAGTTTCATCATAAAATCACAGCAAAAAAAAAAAAAAAAAAAAAATACGGACTTCTGACTGAAATGACTAGAGACGATGAAAATCCAGGTACTGCACATATATAAAAGTTTGAACGGATGTAGGGAGGAAACGAGTAGTTCTCGTGTGATCCTTATATATATGTCACGGGATCTAATCCCACTGAGGGACGTGAACACGTGTTCTTAAATTACACCGATTAAAACGGGGTCCCTTGTTGTGGAAGTTGCTGGCACGAAAATGATCCTCACTGCCCAATGGCCCTAAGTGCCAAGGTCAAATTTAGGCTCTCCGCGGCGAAGAATGGTGTCAATGTAACAGTGTTTCAGTGAAGTATTCGAAGTGAGACCTTTTAATCAACAAACAAACTCATCATTACAGTATTTTGGATGTTTACAAGCATTATTCATCGTTAATATATAGAAATATAGAATAAGTCAATATTTTTTTCTATTTTAAGGTTAGTTATTTTTTTTTCTGGCAGGGAGGAGGGGGTTGGGGTCGTGAAGGGGGTGCAAACTATATATTGATTTGAGTATTGCATTTTTTCATTGACCAAGACAAGAATGTTCTGTCCAAGAAGTTGATTTTTTAATTGCTGAAGCACAAAAATACAAAATTCCTTTTTAAGCTAAAAAGAAACATATGACAGTTGATGGAAATAAAATTCTGTAGACTTTTTAAGAAGGGGGGGGGGGGGCAGCTCCGTTAAAAGCCTCTTTAAATTCAATATATGAAATGTTACAATAACACCCACCCCCCGTCTTTTCCTGCAGTTTCTGTGAATCCTGCTAAACATGATTGTGTATTTATGCTACCCATGCAAGATCGCTTAATTATAATTAATGTCTTATTTATATTTTTTCCCTTTTATTTCCTCTCCATCTTTCGTACTCCTCGTTATTCTTCTTTATGTAAAAAAAAAAATAAAAATAAAAATAAGGTAGGGGGAATATATGTTCAAGTTCCACCAAAAAATATTTCCTTCAAAAAATTAAAAAAAGATATTACTAATGTGTTTGCCTACTCTTGTCATCAGATGTCCGACAAACAAGAAAATAATGTGGTGTCGCTATTAAAAGAATGAAATCCCTACTCCTGGACTCTAAAGCAGATGCTCGAATAACTGTGTCTCGCAGGCGACGAAAGCTAAACGTTATTTCAATTTATAGCTATTATTAAGAATAAAAAATCATTTTTTTTTTACAGATTTGCATTCGTATTTCAGGATTATCATGAAATTAATTAACGATCAATCTCCTCATCTTTTTAATATAATTTATTCAGCGATGGTTAAAGTAGAGATTAAGAAAAATGAGGTGGGGTTGGGGTGGTTCACATCCTAAAACATCTCTGTTCAATAGGACTTAATACATACATGTACATACAGTGTAAAGAAAAAGATTGAAGTGCAGTTCTTGTAGTTCGACTGAATGTCAACAATTTATTTATTTTATTTTAATAATTTTTTTTGTTTGGTGATTTATAATTTATTTATCTGTTTGTCATTTCAGGTAAAATCCTTGGCTATCCAACGACAGTGAGATGTCTACTGTATTGTTTACTTATATCTGATAAATATCGGATTAGTTTCATTGAACAATCACACAAAATCACAAAGGACAAAATCAGACAGAGGTATTTCCCTGATATATCTGCTGACGGCTCGGTAGATCCCCCTGATAGAATCACAGAAACACGTGACGGTGAGATAACCTTTATATCAGACAAAATCCGACATGACGTCATGTACGCCTTTGTTACGGAGTGTCTGGTGGAAGACAGTGATCTGGAGTTTTTCCTGACCACGGCGTCACGTGATGTGATATCAGAATACTGCAGGTCCTGGAAGTATGAGAGGAGTGAGGGAGAGAGATGTCTGTATGTACCGGATAAGCCGGAGAAGATGTACGACCTCTTCATAGACAGTCTACAGCTGGACATCATCACACACTGTACCGTGTCTGACAGGAGGATTCATGACAGGATCAGTAAACGTTGTAAGTATAACGTCTCCAAGATCTGTCTCTAGTTATGTGGTTCACTGGTTTATGTAGTATTACCTCTGTGACACTCTAGTAAAAATGTCATATTTCAGGGAGAATCTTCATCATTTTTTAATAAGATCCTCTATAGTAACTATTTCATTTTCTTGATTTGTGTAAAAAAATACATTTATTTCCATCTGTTTTTTGTAGCGTAATCCTTCAAAAAAGCAAACGAAAAGTATTAAATCTTTTTAAATGTTATTACATATGAATGTTTGACATTTAAGGATTGGAAAATTATTTGGATTGTAACCCCTGTTAGTGAAGTGTAGTTTTAAAATTTATAATTATAAGAATTAAATGTGGGTCTTATACACGAGTTCTTTGTAAATCGGGCCCAGTTGTCGAAAGTACCCGGTAATCCATAGACATAGAGATGAACATTTTTATGCTAGTAATTTTAAACAGCGCTAGCATAACTAATTTCGCAGATTTTCCCCTTTGTTTTATTTTTCATATTGGATTTAGAGGGAAAAGAATTTATTTTGAATGAAGATGATTTTTTACACAATCGTTTAGAAATTAGTTTTAATTGTACATTGTAACAAGCTTATTCAGAGATTCCGTGTTCCCCGCTGAAGGGATAAAGATGTGTTGACCCAGGAGGGGGATAGGAGGGAGCACTTTAATACGTGCAGGGGGGACAAAGGGATTGGGAGTTTTGGTGAAACATAAAATTTCAAAAATTGAAAGCCGCTTGAGATATCGCCCGGAAGTTTTACACTGACACAGAACATCAATTTACGACCTTGACCTTTTGACCACCAAAAATCAAATAGGGGTCTTTCATCAGGTCAAAGAGAGTTGTTGTATTCATTTATTCAACAAGCTCAAACGCTTTCCAGGATATCGCGTGGAAACGTGCGGAAAAGTGTCAAAACAGACAGACTTTTCATTATTTACGACCTAGACATTTGACTTCAAAATCTTCCATAGGCCATAGAGAACGAGGTATAAAACGTCATTGCACAAGCTCAAATGCTTGTCAAGATATCGCACGGAAACGTGTGGAAAAGTTTTAAAGTAAAAATCTGGTAAATGACTTACATTGTAAGAAGGATTTTGTGAAGATACATGTACTACATTATTATGACATAATAATCCATTTCAACATTCTTTTTTTTTTCCCGTACTTTACGACATCAACAGAAATAGGGTATTTTCATGGCATTCAATTTGAGTTTTCTTCATTTTTCATTGAAAATGACTGTTTAAAATATTGTTTTTCATCTTCTTTACCTACAAATTATGACCCGAAACACCTTATTTGACCAAGCTAACGTTATACAGCATCATTACGGGAATTAATTTCTGGAATTTGATAAATCTGTCTACTAGGTATTTTTTCATTTACTTGATCTTGACCTTAAAACAGAGAGTTCTTTAAAGAAGTAAAGCCACGAAGATGCAAAATCGGCCTACATTTTTTAGGAAATTTTAACTGAAGTAAAAGAGAAAAATAATGATGAATATATTATCTACTAGTCTTGAGCTCAAAAGGTTCACGTCATATTTTTCATTTGATGACGTCATAATTGTACAGTAAACGTCTAAACACGTGCACTTTGCTGATTTTTAGCAAAATCAACCATTTTTTACATCTTTAACTCAAAATTTGACTTTGGCCACACCCTACAAACAAAATAAAATTTATGTCATTAAAAAGAGGATAAAAAAGTAAATACATAGGGCATATTTTTATTTTGTTTGTCACGTGTGGCCACATCGAAAACTTAACTTTTCTTTCAACCTAAAACCTCTGAAAACCGACCACCGCAGCGGATTTTCGTTAATATTTTATGATAATACCAAATATAATAATTTTTGTGCTTTCTTCTTTAGAAATGTATCAAAATGAATTGTCTAAATTGAAATATATTGGATTTTGTGTTGTGGTAGGAAAAAGGAAAACGAAAACCATGCCAGTGCCTACAAAATATTACAGCATGTAGTATTGTCGACTTGACCCTTTACCCGTTCAGACCCAAGACTTTTTCTTGACATATGTTCTAATTAATTATATTTATGATATTTTTTTAAATAGTGTATACTCTTTTTGTATTTCTTTGTGTGAATTCCTGTTTACAACTCGATCCCAATGCCTCGTTGCCATGGTCACTATGTAATCAAAGGGAGATTACTCGAGAAACAACCTAAAACGGATAAAACTACCAGCAGAAAGGTTCAATAAATCAATTAAAATTGCCGGTATTATAAATTGGCTAAATAAAAAAAAACAGGAGCATACCAATTAGCGTTTTAAAAATTATCAAGAATGTCTTTGACATTTCTCTATATTTATAGTTGAAAACATTTCAAGAACCTAGACCGCATGATATACATGACAAATTATTGAACCTTCTGTACATGTATATATGTGCCGAGCTAGAGTTGGGGACTTCAGATTTAAAAGGTTCTATCCAAAAGTGTTATTTTGTTTTTATTGAATAAATGAACGAAAACATATAGGCCTAATCAATTCTACATATATATTATTTACGAGAGGCAATCGTAAATGCATTAGGACATAAAAAAGTGCTACAGTCACGAGTATGCATGTTCTATTTTTTTCTCTCTCGAAAAAAAACCGCTATTTTAACCTGGGATTAAAATAAAAAAAATATTAATATCATTCCAAAGTAATATGTTTTTAAAAAATAGTCTATGTATCTTCTTTAGATGACAACTTGCACTCAATTTTAGCAACAGGTCGTTTTAAGTAAAGGGGGTAAGGTTGGCAAAAATTAAAACTTATTCTTCAAAACCAAGAAAGTAGTGTAACATGAAGCGGTCACCCATTCAAGTGTTAAACAGGCTCGCCGTTGCTTAACTTGCCTGAAATAGAGGGAGACTTTACCGCATTTCCAGAAAAGTTAGCTCACTGGCAATGCATGCAGTATAAGTTCCCTATATACTGTCCGCTACACTTCCCCCCGCTCAGGGAAGCTTTATTTTAGCATTTTCTCTCTTGTCTGGGTCTCTTCAGCTACAGCAATCAATGCCGTTCCCGGACACGAAGTCCATACTTGGACACAAAGTCCTAGTCTTAGAGCTTCCTGAAATAGATCGGAACCTGACTTCAGATACGGCAACCCCTGCCGTCCATAGACACAGAGTCTATATATGGACACTAAGTCTTCTCTAAGACTTCCTGAAGAAGGACACCAGACACCCAGAATCACTACGCTGCCACCAATTTTGTAACGTGAAGCGGTCACCCATCCAATGGTTAAACAGGCTCGCCGTTGCTTAACTTGTCTGAAATAGAGGGAGACTCTACCGCATCACCAGAAAAGTTTAAGCTCACTGGCAAGGCAGTATAAGTTCCCTATATTCTGTCCCCTACAGTAGGAAGGATACCCACTTTAACCTTAATTGGACCTTTCTTATTGTCTACTGATTAAAACATCCCAAATATATCATTGTGTAAATGTGTAATTCTTTTATTTATTTTTTTTTTTTTGACACATTTAATAAATACATGAATTGGTGTGAAACAGATACTCGAGCACGCAGATGCTTAATTATCAAAAGTGCACATATTCGGAATAATATTCATGATTATATACACGTATACGTATTTTGAAATTTAAATTTAAGACCAAAATTTACATCACAACCCATATCAACCCTCGAACAATATTAGGTCTGGGGCATCTCTCCATCAAACTCATGCATGTATGGTATTTCATGGGTCTGTTCATCCTATCAATGTGTTCACACAGAATCCGCTAATATTGGGGGTCTCGGCTAGATATATATACAGGATTAGATACAGATGTGACCATGGAGATATTCAATAATTAAAAATTTGGATGAGTTAATGAGCTGCTCAACATGTAATTTACTTTTTTTCACTTTTAGTTTTCATTAATTTCATATACTAGTATCCTGTTCGAGTTTAAAGTCGGATGCGTAAAGGTCTGCTCAAATATAGCTAATCTGTAAAAAGGTTGGTTTTGCAGTAAAATAGGGAATCCCCCAGTTTTCACGTATTTCTTAGTCATGTGATTGTTACATCGGGAGCAGTGATTTAATTAAAATACTTGTTAGGTTAAACTTATACAAGAAATATTGAATACTTACAAGTTAATACTGATAACATAAATCCTCAAATTCAGAAATTATTTCCAGGTGAGAAATTTCTTAACAAGCAAAAGAAACAAAAACTAAACGCGCCCAAAAGTCAAAACCATATTTCGTGGTGGTAGTGGTGGTGGGGGTATTGCCTGAAATCTTTCACTTTTCATACCCATTTCACACAAATTCGCGTTTACCGGGGGATGTGTCTGCTTTTCCCAAGGGGGGTCCAAGGTAACTTTTTTTTTCTTGCTCCAATATATACATTTAATAATCTTGCAAATTCCAGGGGGTGGGGGTGGGGAGGGACCCCCCGACCTCCCTCTAGATCCGCGCATAAATCCGGGTAAGAAGAATCATATACAAATCTTAAGAGGGATTACATCATATTATTTATAATTTTTGCAGGCACCGATCCAGGAAAATTTTCCGGGGGTGGGGAACCCTGATCGAAAAAAATAATTTTCCAACCTGGAAATTTCTTGACAAGCTAAAAAGAAAGTTTGTGTGTGTGTGTGTGGGGGGGGGGTCTTAGACTGTTAAATCTTCATATCTATGACTTTTACTACCAATTTCAAATCACATTTTCAATGAGGGATCTGCATTTTTAGGTAGGGGTCTAAGGTCACTTTTAATTGGCTTTGTATATACATTTTTCAATTTTGTAAATTCCAAGGGAGGGAGAGGGTCCGGACAGAATTTCACTGATGCACGTACATGGAATTGCCCTTGGTATTTGGTTATACGGAAATAAATCTGGTACATATATATGGGACCTTTTATTAACAAACTCTTACATTATTCAACTGCATGTAAATACATGTATGGAATCTTTTCAATGGTATATATTGATAGCATCATTCAATACTACCAGGAGATGTTTGTGCGTATGTTTTGTCTATCAGGAGACAGGATCCAAGTAGCATTCTTCTTAGTTTGGGCCTGCAGGAAGCAATTACAATTGCAGATGGATGGGGGGAGGGGAGGGGCACAGTCACATTTCTTCAGCTGGGGTCACTATCAACTACCAAAATTTCCTCAACAAGCAAAAAAAAGTCATCAGATGTATCATTGAAGGGACACAAGTATAAACATGTACTACCTATGTTTTCTAAAGAATTCTTTATATCGGCAAAATTAGGGGAGGGGGGGGGCAAGGTTCAAGATTAATTGCTCTCTTTGCTCTCTGATGCACCGAAACGTCATTATTTCCGTCTATTATGTTGCACTATTTCATTGGAGACGTCTGGGAAACTGCTGAAAACTTAAAGTGTATTCAAATTGACGACCTGATAAATAACGTCTTCAAACTTTATCCACTTTTCAACCTGATTTTTTATTTAAAGTTAATAATATACATGTATGATATGTATTCTATACGTATTCTCGGATGAAACTTTTTTGATTGCTTTTTTCCCTTTAAAAATATTAACTATTTTTGTGAATTTGGATTCTCACAATAGGAAAGTACTAAGGGGAATAAAGTCCATAACATCATTTATTCAAGAAAAATATTTTTTAATGAAATATGACATCATCTAAACAATTGCTGAAAATTTAAGCTTAGTACACGTGCACTTTCTTTTTTTCACAACAAAAACAACACTACACCCACCTCACCACCCCTAAAACACTCGATAAAATATTCAATATTTATTCTAATCCTACTCTTGTGAATTATTTTCCATCAGTGTAAATTTGTTACCTCTTATAAATAATTTCAACGTCATGAATTTAACGTGTTTAACGTCAACGTCATGACGTCATAGTATTTCATTCGAAAAAACAATGCTTATTTTAAACACCTGTAAAAAGAAAACTATAAAAGATATTGTTAAAAAATAAACTGTTTTACAACGTACACATACTAGACTATCATTTAACAAAAATTCATAAATTTTGAATACGGTGCGGATTTTGATGCTTCGTGGCTCTTGTTCTTTATAATTTAGACCTTGGAAATTTTGACCTCAAAATCAAAAGGAGTCTTTCTTTTGCCATTTGGAGTTATTGTGTAAAATGTACATGTAATTGGTAAAGCTTTAAGGAGGGCCCACACTTTTACGGATCCGGTTCTAATTTTACACATCAATATAAAATTCTGATTTTCACTTTTTTATTGATATAAATCTTTTTGGGTGATTGAAAATGATTTAGCAAGTATATGTTTGTTTATTATAGTGTTATTGTGCATATGAAGCATTTAATATACATTATTTATGGAAATAAACACCATGCACTCTGTCCATAAGATCTATATGTCATTTAGTACATACACAGACACAAAATTCTTAATTGCTTTTATGGACCTAAATCTTTTTAATTTTCTTTTAAGCAAACTTACCTGAGATCTATTTTTTTTTTATTTAGAGGCTATATCATCCGTTTAATTTTAACTTTTTAAAAATTTTGCATTGAATAATTGAAAAAATTGATATTCCAAAAATGGGGGTATACGTCTTCAAAAGACTGTTTTGTTAAAATTCTCTGGTTAACCATAATGAAGTAGCTGTTTTTGTTAACATTAGATATAATTCTTAATAGTTTTAAAGAAAAAATGGCATCTAAACATTTTGGATTTCGAGAAAAAATAAAAATAAAGATATTTTAAGATTTTTTTCTGAAAGACAAGGACAGATTCAACACCAATTTGTTAATGTTTTGCAGTAAAGATTTCAAATATTCTCTTGGCAAATGAATATTTTTGATCTTCATAAGTTTTAACATAGATTTGATGTGATTTGGTGCATAACTAAGAGAAATATGATATCACACTTTTTTATGTTTAATTTTGGCTGTTGAGTTTTTAGAGGTATGTGCACTGAGACATGTTGTATGAAAATTAACCTGCAAAGATACGTCTTTTATGGGTGTTTTAGTAAGTTTAAGACTTGTTCAAGGTATTCAAGTTGAAAAATTATCAGTTTGACAGAAAATTCTGAAAGTACGGACCTACCTTAAGACTTCTCGATATACCGTGTAAGTGGAAATTTTAGCGAGACGCAAATTTATCGATTTCAACCTAAAATCGGGTATTTAAATTTTAGCGACTTTTAAATGCTAACTAAAGAAGCTATTACAAATAATACGCAATTAATCTTTTAGCGATATTAAATTTTAGCAATGTCAGCACCCTCGCTAATAATGCCAAAATTAAATCCTCGTTAAAAATTCTACTTATACGGTATATGGCTTCAAACGAAAGCGTTACAGAAAGACAGAAATATAAACGGAGGGAACGGCAGTCCGAAATGAATATATCCCACATCCAGCGAGGGACGAAAAACATAAAGGGGACGAGTATTGGATTCTGAGGAGAGGGAGAGACTGACAAAGGGAAATAAATAACCCGTTCTCGAAAATGTTGAAAGTAATTATCTGCCCTCGACTGGCAGGAAAATAGATAATCTGTACATGACCAAAGCCATTAACCCCCCCCCCCTTCACGATCACCACCACTACATATTTAGAGTTTTTGATTGATGAATTTATTTTTTCATTTTGCTTGTCAGATATTTGTTTTAGTAAAGATGAAAATAAATATTGTGTCCTTCATCTGTATGAAAATAAAGAATTTGACTTGGAGAAAATAGCCACCCACCCTCCCCCCCCCAGCCCCTTCAGAATCAACTTGCAGTCTATTAACAAAATATGTTTGTACATGTATATGCCAGTTAAGAGGATAATTATAATTAGACTCATGTTATGTTTAGTGAAAATACCCGGAGAAGTACTGTTTTGGGACATAGAAGCAAGAAAAAGGTTCGTCAAAATTTCAAGTCAAGGCAGTGTGAACATGTGCCGTGCCAGAGGAATGATAGTGGGATGCGCAGGCGCAGGAAAAACGACTCTTCTTAGAAGACTTCAAAGGGAAAACAAAGAAGAAAACAAACAACCAACAGAGACAACCGTCGGTCTTGATATCCACGAGGATTTGTTTGAAATTAAAGATGACACATTAATAGGTGATTTATTTTTAAATATGTTAAGCTGATATGTTTATAGATGGGTAAATTTCACTAAACCTAGAATTATTTTTAATTGAATTTCAATTAGAAACAAGTTGCAGTTCTTTTTTAAAAGGCCAGTAGCTTTTTTTCAAAAAGTTCATTTTGCTAAGATGTTAAAATAGGTGTCATATAGTCTCTGTTTTAAAACATGAATAATTTTATTTTATGAATAGGAACATATTTTCATCTTGATATCCACACACATTAATAGGTGATTTATTTTTAAATATGTTAATGTGATATGTTTATAGGGGGGTTTCTCTAAATCTAGAATTTATTTTAATTGAATTTCGATTAGAAACACAATCAAATTGTCTACAAATTGCAGTCCTTTTTTTTAAAGGCCAGCGGCTTGTTTTCAGAATGGATCATTCTGTTGATTTAAAACATGTATAATTTTATTTTATGAATAGGAATATATTTTCATTTGCAATTCTTATCTCACATTCTTTCAGATTTTGATAAAAATAGAACCCAATCAGAGAAGACTTCTAACAGCACAGATGGAAGACAACTTATAAGTATGACAGACTTCGCTGGACAAGTAGCGTATTACGCGTGTCACCAGATTTACCTCTCCAGAAGAGCCTTTTATCTCGTGGTGGTTGACATGTCTAAAGATCTGGAGGAAAAAGCTATATCATACGACACTGACAGACACAACCCCATAGGATCTTTATTTCATAACTGGACATTTGCAGGTATATACTCTCAATGAAAGCGTTTTTTTTTGTTGTTCAGAAACCGTGTAAAGAAAACCTGTTTTATACAGTGTTATGCATTTATAACTATGGCTGTCATAGTATTTTAAGATTATATGTATCTCATATAACTTAGAATCACCGTTTACATGTAACATAATTTCAATAGACGCATCACTTGATAATGCGTTATTTTTTTTTTTTTTGGCAAGACTACTTTTTGTTTTGGCTGCAATCCATTAAAACATACTGTGAGGATGGAAAATCTAAAAGAAGTCGATATGGTGAAACCAAGGCCACCCCTGTTATCCTGATTGCCTCTCATCATGACTGTGTAAAGGTAAACATCTTTCATGGCATGTCGGTAGACTTTTTTCCATCTTAAGTCGATCTTTTGTCATTTTTGGTCTTTCACATTTAAGTATTCATTATTTTTTTCTTTGAAAAAACTTTCTTGTGTCAAGATTTTGTAATTCATTTTGAATGGTAATGACTTGAAAAAACTTACGTAAGTGCGCCATGTACATCAGTAAAACCATTTTGTCAGTTGGTGTTGGGTAATCGGTAGTTTTTGAAACTTATTTCTAGCTTATAATAATTCATCTGCATCATCTTTCATCATCAACCACATTGAAAATGGATTAATTATTAGAATGTATTTTGCTTAAAGGGGTATACTGTAAATCACTAAATTTTTGCAAGATAGCCATTAACTTTTTATTTACGAGACATAATTTTCACGAATTGTTGCTTTTTCTCTATATAATCGCAAGGAATTTTTTGATTGCGAGAGTGAAATTTTCGGAGCTCATCGTCTTGCGTAATTACGCAAAAAGTAAGTTCTCGCTAATAAAACGTGATTTACCGTATACGGAACTTCAAATTGCTTCATATTGTTTTATTATCAACATGTACATGTACCATACTAAGCTTTGTTACATGTAGTATATGTTGCGGTTTCGGTTAATATTCTAACATGTATAATTGACTTCTCCAACAGAAGAAGGTAACCACGGAAAGTAAAACTGCATTCTACGATACACTACAGAGATCCTTGCCTTGTGAACATACATTGAGTGATCACATTTCACCCGCACGTTACTACGAGATTGAATGTCCACTAGGAGAACTGAATGGGCACCAGGAAGAAGCAATAGAACAAGTCAGAAATTGTATTGTTCATACGGCAAAAAGTCTTCCACATTGGGGTGAAAAAATTCCACATAAATGGTCTATGTTTGAGCTATTTATTCAAGAACACAAAATAGAGAAAATTTTACACAGAGTAAGCCTAAAAACAGAGCAAGAGTTTAGGTCTCTGGGCGAAAATGACCTTGATGATATGCTCAGATACTTTTCGGAGGTAGGCCAGATAATCTATTTCTCGGAAGAGGGTTTGAGAAACAGCATTATACTGGACGTCGGTTGGTTTGTAGACGCTTTTAAAAATATCATAACAGACCCTACTCACGCTCGCTCAGCATGCAGTAGGGTTAAAGAGTGGGACATTTTTATGAAGAATGGAATGATTTCAGATTCAACACTGGTCAAGGTATGGAGGGAAAACAAAAAGGAATCGTATGTTCTTCAGAAGGAACATATTATACCATACATGGAGAAACTTGGCATTCTTGCAAAAATGAAAACCAAAGAAGTTGAGGGGAAAGACGCAGAATTGTCAGAGAATAGACAAGAATCTTTGTACTACATCCCTAGTATCAATAAGACAGACTTCACAACAAAAGGCTTTCATGTCTTCAACAACGGATATAAAACTCCGATTTTGGTGTTTTCTTTTAAAACATTTATTCCACATTTCTTTTTCTTTAGACTTGTTGCAGTATGCTTTTCCAGGTGGGAATTGCTAAGTGAAGACCTACTCTTCAAAAACGTTGCTTTTTACAAGGAAAAAGGTGATGACATTAACATTGCAATTGCAGTCAATAAAACATCAATTCAATTGCAAGCGTTCACTCCAGATAAGAATATCATCCTGGAAAATACAGGTACGAAAAATATCAGAATTCAAATTGAACAAATGCTTGAGGAGCTTACCACAACTTTCCATCACCGAGTTTTCTATGAAGTTGGGTATCCGTGTAGAGATATAAATATCACTGAAGAAGATGAGCATTGCTTCTTATCAGAGAGAACCGTCGCCGAACTGAAAACGAATGAAAGAGTTTGCCCAAATTTTAGAAAACAGGATCATAAAGAGCATCAGATTGTACGTGATGACCTGTTGCATTATTGGTACACGGTATGTTCTTTATACAGTTTATATTAAAAATAGCAGGCACTCTATTGCAATATAGTTTTAATGAATACAAGAAATATAATGAGAGAATGAAAAGGAAATCGTAGTTTAATCTACCCAGGCCATGTCACAAATAAATTTAGGAAATAGGAATAAATTTCTGTAAACAAGAGGCCCATGGGCCACATCGCTCACCTGAGTCACTTGGGTGATGCAGATCTTTTTAAAAGATTTGTTCTATATATATTTTTATGTAAAACTTGGCTTCCCCATTGTGGCCCCGCCCTATGCCCGAGGGTCATGATTTTAACAATTTAATATCTACACTACTCAAGGATGCTCCCACATAAGTTTCAGCTTTTCTGGCCTAGTGGTTCTTGAAAAGAAGATTTTAAAAGATTTGTTCGATAAATCTCTATGTAAAACTTGGATTCCCTATTGTGGCCTCGCCCTTCCCCCGGGGGTCATGATTTTAACAATTTAATATCAACACTACCCAAGGATGCTCCCACATAAGTTTCAGCTTTCCTGGCCAAGTGGTTCTTGAAAAGACGATTTTTAAAGATTTATTCTATATATTTCTAGGTTAAACTTGGATTCCCTATTGTGGCTCCGCCCTACCCCCGGGGGTCATGATTTTAACAATTTAATATCTACACTACCCAAGGATGCTTCCACTTAAGTTTCAGCTTTCCTGGCCAAGTGGTTCTTGAGTAGTATATTTTTTAAAGATTTGTTCTATATATTTCTATGTGAAACTTGGATTTCTTATTGTGGCGCCGCCCTGCCCTCGGGGGTCATGATTTTAACAGTTTAATATCTACACTACCCCAGGATGCTTCCACATAAGTTTCAGCTTTCCTGGCCCAGTGGTTCTTGAGAAGAAGATTTTTAAAGATTTATTCTATATATTTCTAGGTTAAACTTGGATTCCCTATTGTGGCTCCGCCCTATCCCCGGGGGTCAAGATTTTTACAATTTAATATTTACACTACTCAAGGATGCTTCCACATAAGTTTCAGCTTTCCTGGCCTAGTGGTTCTTGAGAAGAAGATTTTTAAAGATTTATTCTATATATTTCTAGGTTAAACTTGGATTCCCTATTGTGGCTCCGCCCTATCCCCGGGAGTCATGATTTTTTCAATTTAATATTTACACTACTCAAGGATGCTTCCACATAAGTTTCAGCTTTCCTGGCCTAGTGGTTCTTGAGAAGAAGATTTTTAAATATTTGTTCTATATATTTCTATGTTAAACTTGGATTCCCTATTGTGGCCCCGCCCTACCCCTTGGGGTCATGATTTTAACAATTTAATATCTACACTACCCCAGGATGCTTCCACATAAATTTCAGCTTTTTTGGCCCAGTGGTTCTTCAGAAGAAGATTTTTTAATGACCCCACCCTATTCTCGTATTTTCTTGATTATCTCCCCTTGGAAGGGGTCTTGGCCCTTGATTTTAACAATTTAAATTTCCCTTCAACCAAGGATGCTTTGTACCAAGTTTGGTTAAAATTGGCCCAGAGAAGAAGTTGAAATTGTGAAAAGTTTACAGACGGACAGACAGACAGACGGACGACGGACACCGGTGATCAGAAAAGCTCACTTGAGCTTTCAGCTCAGGTGAGCTAAAAATTATATGATTATTCTGTTTTGATTTTATTCGCATGATTGATATTTCAGGGAGTTGATAGCAGAGCCCAGTCTTCTTGATGTTTGGCCTAAAAGAAAATGATTGTTAAAAGAAACAGTTCAAATGTACCAAGCAAACTCTATTTTCAATTCTCTTATTAATTCTTTTACACGCTGGTGGTGTTTCTAAATATGTATTGATATAAATATTAATATGTGTTGAATTATTTGTGCATTCATCTGCTGAGTTTGACATAAAAAGTAACAGGATTAAACTCGTCCACTCAGTCAACTGAAAATCTACTGAAAGGTCACATGTAGTTGGGGAAAAAATTTCTACCATTCAATGACTATTTCCAGGCTTTTCAGTGATCAATTAGTAAAGTAATTGAATAAAGGTGGATCATCCCTCTGATAAGAGAGATAACTCTTCTTATAAGAAAGAGAACTTTCCTTAGACATTTTGTCATGAAATTCAGTGAATTGTCATGTCAGAGTTTACAAGTTTCATTCATGCCAACCATTTCATAGTCAACTCAATCAAACTTATTTTAATGTACAAATGCTGATTTATAGTTTCTATTGCTTGTATGTACATTAGCGATTTATAATAATTTACTTAAAACATTTATACTCAGTTCCTTTAAACAGTGTAAATTGAGAAATCTCTACCTCTTAAAGTATAATTCTTTTAATTGTAAAGAAATTTCAGATCCAGTATTGTATATAAACATTTAATTAATATTTTGTTTCATTAAAAATATTTTCAAGGGCGATAATGGAAGGATAACTCTTCCATATGGATGCGTGTTATTTTACATGCACAGAAAACAATTTGTAATTGTGGTTTTAAAAGCAGCGCTTCAGTATGTTTTCTAATGGGAATTAGATAGGTATGAGAGTAAATATTATTTTTATATATACCTCATATTTCCAATTTAATTGTGAGAAAAAAAATAATTAATCTTTCTATTTACCATATCAAATTTTCTTCACATCATGATTTGACATATTATTCATTTCTGAAAAAGTAAGCAACTCTTCATATTTCAAACTATTTTCCATTTGAATTTAATGCTATAGTTGTTTGCTGAAAATCAATGTCTGGATTTTTAAAAAATAAGTCAGGAAATTTGGAGCAGAGGAATATTGTCCCTTAAGAGGGTTTTTCCTGTAAATCAGGTTATGCAATAGATGAATGATTATTTTTCTGATCATACAAGCATTACTATGGTTGCTTTATTTAATGCATATATTAGTGTTAACTACGTATAACAATATAAAATAGATGGATATATCTAAAAATATTATAAGTACATGTACTGTAATTGAGATTATATCCAACCCCATTTATTTCTTTGAAAAAAAGGTTAAATAAGAGTGATTTTTGTTTGGTTTCTGGAATGTATTAAATGAAATATTCAAAGCATATTTACTGAAATATCATATACATTTAGAAGTAATCAGAAGCTTTATTTTTTCCCATTTTTTTAATAAAGAAGGAAAATAGAAATGATAATTATAGTATAAAATCTTGTGGTAACATTTTGTTAGAACTGTGGGGAATATTTTTTCCTTCACTCAAACAATGAAATTAGATAAAAATTTTCCAACAATGAAAGGCAATGAAATATTACAAAAAATTCTAAAGTTAAAAATTTTCCTATAACTGAGAAATACAATTTTTAAATATATATTTTAAAATAATACCTTAAAACAACTCTAAGAAGCATAATACTGTACAGTGAAGAGTTAAATAGTAGGTATGTCTTTATCTTTTAGGGAAATTTTTACTATGATACACATAATTAATAGTTTTTCGAACGTACTGTAACAATGATTTGTGTTCTTTCATTGTGGAGTGTATTAAAATACATTACATCAAGTTTTGCTTTGAAATGTTTATTGTTTTTAACGTACTGTACATAGCAAGAAATAAAGGAGTCACTGGTTCTGATACACTTGTTGGTGTGACGTCAATCTGTAACATTTAATGTAACTGTACGAGGGTTGATCCAAAAGTTATTGGAATTTCTTTAGATTTTATTTATTTTAAAGTGGAAATGGTTGCTTGAAAATAACAAATCAAAATATACTTGATGACACTTGATGGATATTTTAAATCAAAAAATATTTTAAATATCTTTCATAGTAACTCTATTGCAGTTGCCATTGAAACGGTTGTTTAGAAATGCGGGGGAGACATCGTGTTTATTATCATTTTCATTCTCAATGCGTGAATGAGAATTAAACCGCCTATAAAGCGAAAATTATGTCATTATTACCTTGCTTGATCTTTTTATCAACCTTTGTGTGGGAGTGTTACTGATTTTACTGGATATTTAGTTTATTCGCTAATTATTTATTTTTCATCTTTAAGTTGTTAGAAACGTCAAATTTCGGTTTATTCATACGTTTTTGTTTTTTTTTTTTTTTGATAATATTGGGATCAATCTGTAGTAAAAGCGAATATCTTTGATATAGGCTTGGGGAAAATGCATTTAGTTAATGGTTATCCAGTGATGTTAGAAATTTAAGAAAAATAGAACTTCCATTGACGTTAATTAAAGGTTTTGTCGCTTTTTGGAGGCTCTGGTTTAAGTGCGTATCCCCCTAGACAAATTAAAAGCATCAATGGACATTGTCAGCTGCCATACTGTGCATGACATTGCAACTGATATTGGAACGTCATATTGAAGGGTTGGGGGTGTTTTGAAATATGAGTGAAAAATGAATATAAGTTGGTGTGAGAGGATACACAGGATTTTCTTGAGAAAAAAAAATATAGAAAAGGACAGCATTATGGAAAATTGTATGTTCAAATTGGACATATTTGGGCTAGATGTTTCCAGACCGCGACATGGTATAATCTAACACGTTACGTCGAAGTCTCCCCCGGGTTTTACAACTATCCATTGTCAGAAAGCTCGTGCGACCTTATTGGTAATCAGAAAGTGATGAAATTTTCCAATATTGATGCAATATGACTCTATATTATAAATATGCCTGTTGTTTGCTATCATCAAATCACGAAAACATTTTAGAGAGAAATTCCAAGAACTTTTGGATTAACCCGCGTATATCTCACTTTATGTCTTCTTTATCATTTTTTTCCCTGTCTTATTCTCTCATTCTTTTCTCTGTAATGTAAATGGTCCCATATATTATTTCCATTGTGACCGAGTAGTTTTAGACGGTACTAAGATTTCGTCTTGAACGGCATCCGTTGTTTGCAGAACGAAAGGGGTGAGAGAATGTTGGCGTAGAGGGTGTACATGTGAGGTAAAGGGTAAAGGCGCTGTATGGTCGTAGGGTAAAAACGAAGTATAGGTGTGCCGTATTCCCGAAGGTCCACCAATATGCAATTCCAGGGATAAAACAAATGATGAAGGATTCCGTATTTATTAGAGTCTCAAGGATGGCAACAGTTTATATAAATTAACAAATAGGCATATACAAATGATCCCACCTGTGATTTGAATTTACAGGGCTTACGTTTTGTGGACAAATTGACAGATAGATATAAAGAAAACAGGCAGACAGAGAGGATACATATTCAAACAATATATGCCTTCTTATCATTAATTACAGGACCTTAAAATGCAGTGTGATTGCACTGTGTTGTATTTTAATACTTTTTTTTATAGTGTTCAGTTACACAATATAATTATATTGACGATTTTTTTTAATAATAAAAGAAGAATAAATTATCAATTAAGATCATGGCGAGTTGTTGAATTACGATTTCACCTTTTATGAAAGGTAGATCAAGAAGCATTTTCATATTACAAAATGCACCTTTAATGAATTGATAAATCATTGAAAAAAGCTCTCATTGCTTAATGGCTCTGATTACCAGCCATTGGTATAAATTGGAGGCTTCTATCGGTAAATGTTAACTCTTCATTTGAGTGAAAAAATCTTTCGAAATGCTTGTATGTAAGAAAATCAAGACATTTTATGTCTTTTATCCTTTTATATAATAAGTTTTTTTGCAAAGTCTGTTCCCCGCAGTTATGACAGGCTGTCCGAAGGCTTAAAATGCCTTATTTTGGGCTAGATTTTAATTTAATACGGTATGTAATCCTTGTTTGAAATTGCAGTCAACTCAAGATCATAGTTTAATCCTATTTCATTTTATAGCATTTTTGTGATATAACGTGACTTTGTTGATCTCGTGACCGTGATTTATGATATTCTTAATTCTTGCACAAAAATCGCTTCGGCACAAGTGCAAAGTAAATATATTGTGCTAGGTTTGTTACATAGTTCAATTCATCGTGATCTCCGGTACATAGAAAGTGCTGGAGGCAGGTTTAATGTTTACTCGTTAAGAATTTTTTTTACAAGAAATTCAATTTACCAACATAAGAAGGGATATTTTCCACACGTTATCGCGATTTATACAAAATTGGATAAACTACACACAATCCCCCAGCAATACTCAGTTACAGGACATACTTCTCTTGTAGATTCACACAGAAAATCTTCAATTTGTCCCTGTTTATCACTTGTGTCAGACTGTCCAATATAAACACGATTCATGAATTCTAACTCTGTCTACAGACGTGTAAGGGGAGCGTTTCACACTTAATTTTTTGCTGTTGTTTGAATATGTACATTTCGGACAATATAGGGAAAGGGATATTTAAATTTCAAATGTTCAATATTATCACAGCACAATCGAGCTTAAAAAACATTCATAACACCCAAAAATATATTTACATGCCATGTAGGAATTATGACACTTTCTCCGTCATGTCAGCTCAAGTATGCAGTGACTTGACGTCATACTCTATTATGACGTCATATCTATGTAGATCAGAGAAGTAACTACAGTTTGAAGAGTTTGATATGTAACAGGTAGCCTTATCCTAGCTGCGCCAATGACAATGTATTTTTAGCATATGTTACATGGTTTCGAGGGTACCACACCAGCAGCGAGGTGACAAGAAATTCGAAAGCCCTAGACATCAATAATGCACATGCATTGACCCTACAGTGAATATAGCCTAAAATCCGAGGAATATGTGTTATTATGAACTGCATGTTTGCTTTTCTATACATTATGTACGGATTATTTAATAGACTGTATTACTGTAATGGTTTTTCATTCTATGCAACGAAACTATTAAATCAAACATTTGGTGTAATTTTATTGCTTGCGATGTCGACAATGTAAGTCAACATTTAATTCAATGATAAATTGTTTATGATGTCAAGGTCATTGTATCGACCATAGAATTTAAATGAGACTGCTTGTTTCATCGACTGGTTTTCAATAATTTACCTCCATTTAAAAATAGTTCAAATGAAGAGCATGCTATTTCACATCAGAACAATTAAGACAAACAAACTCCGTTTGTAGGGGATGAAGGTATATTGCGGCTTAGATAAGGTAAATTGACGATAGAAAAGTTAAAGCCATCACGTTTATCATTATAATGCTTAGTTGTTAGATTAGCGTTACTGTCTTTTTCAAGTAAGGTATCCAATTATGCAACAGATGTTTCAGCATATAAGCAAAGAATTATTATTTTTTGAAAGATTTGGTCTGATAACTGCATCGCTAACGCACTCTATGAGAATTTGTTTGCAGTAATCAGTCATATATTTTAAGAAAAAAATTGCATAATAAATAATGTTTGAAAAATCTTTCGATAATTTTGTATGTATAATGGCCTAACAATACCTATTAGCAAACGCCAGTCAGCATAAATAAAACATGAACTTGTAAATGAAAGTCGGAATGCATTTTCTAAAAGAATTTGTCTTCGATTTTCGATGAAATGCCCAATCCATAGCAGCTGATCTTAACCCTAAATACTGTAAATATGGTATGAGAGATTTTCATGAACTCTGTAACCACTCATGTCACCACTCATGATCAGTAAACAAACACGTGCAAGGCACCAAGTACGTTCAAAAAGTTGAATATGCCGGATGCTCTCATGGAATCATGGGAGCAAAAAATTGTAATAACTAAGATCAGAAGAAATGAAAAAATCTTCAGACATAAAAAAAAGTTTAGTTTCACTTTGATATGTGACCAAGCGTTCAGAGCTGAAAGGGAAAAAAGAAAGGGTTATAACTTTAAGGAATTTGTGCAAAATCATACTGTGCTGTTGTAATTTAAACAAGCGTCTTGTTAAGACTTAACTATTTCTAGTAATAATCATTCCGATTTTATGCATAAGAAAATCAGAAACTAACGTATCGTGAAAAAAAACTACTTGTGAATTCAAATTCAGAATATGGCTAGCCCTGAGATTCGAACAAGTTTGAACGATGTCTTTAAAATCACTTCATTGCTTCTTGTTTAGTTATATACCCATGCCCGAGAGTTTCAATAAAAGTTTCAATGTAATTATATGCATTTCATTTTGATAAATTGTCAGTCAGTTATATAATTTTAAAGTAAAAACATGTACAAAATTTATATACATGTATAAGAGAGACAAAGAAAAAGAAAGGGATGGAGAACTTGTGTCCATTTATACGTTATCACAAAAGCAGATGTGATGGTCAAACCCTGAGGATTTCCGGCCAAGGTATTCCTCGATTAGATTAATATAACTGCACTTTTATTTTCTTTATAACAGATTTAATTGTTTGGAATAGATTAAGTAAAACACACCCTTCTTCACAATCCCCAATATGTACATACTTCCGTTAATTAATCCTTGATTTGTAATTGCTCTTTGCTGAAATAGCTGAAATCTATTAGTTATTTGGTAATTATTCAGAAGAGACTACACACATTCAAATGGCCCAGGTGCAGCTTGAGTACTTTTTCTCGTTTGTTTTAATCACTTCCTAAACATTTTTATAATTTATGAAATGGTATCAAATATACTATCAGAAAAATTAATTAAATGACAAGATAGGGTAACAGCCGAAATTTTTATATAAAAATCAGAACACTGATAAAACTGTGATAGTTTGTAGTTAGAAAGTTAAAATGATGCTTACTTTAAGACAAGCGATAATTTTGATTCAAAGCCTACGTGGAAGCCACTAGAGGGTTCAGAAATAGGACATTTTCCCGAATTTCCTCAATTCTGGTGGATTTTCATCATATTTTGGGTACATTTCTCTTCGGAAAACATAGAGCACACGCTTGCCTATCTGAGATTTTTACACATATACATCATCTGATATCAGTGTATAAAATATATAAATTTGGTAGATAGGCATGCGTGTGCTCTATGTTTTCCGAAAGAAAATGTGCTGTAAAATTAGTGAAAATTTGCATATAAATGAGAAATTTCGAAAATTGACCTATTTCCTGACCTCACTGTGACCTCTGTATATTCTTAATCTTAAAACCAGTACTCATTTTGTGGCAGGGGTGAAAACAAGTTTTTATGGATAAACTGTTGGATCATTCTGAAAGACACCCAAAATCGGGGGCCAAATACTGGTCTTACCCTATCTTGTCCTTTGAAAAATACCTTCCATTTGAAATCAATTTTAGAATCATCGGTAATATGTACATGTCTATCGATGCCTTTTTATATCACTGACCTTCTTGATACAAGTATGATGTTTAAGATTTAAAACTATTATATCTACATCCTTTTGATGCAAATAAAAATCAGTTTTAGTCTAATACAGCATATATTTTAATTAAAGCTCTTTCTACCTTGTGCATTAACATTTATTTATTTTGTATTTCTGCATGAATTAGAAGGTTACGGTCAAGGTCTAGTAAATTAGAATGCCTTTTGGTGCTAGATCCAATATGACGTAATTATTGACTCAAGCTGAATTTAAGTTAAGTAGAAATAATGTACAAAACAAAACTTATCCAATGCACTCAACTTGAAATCATATGAAAAGTAACCTCAATATCTATATTCAATTAAAATCAGTTACAAAAAAAAGTTAAGTAAAATTTAAATAAAACGCTTTTTTGAGAGACTGTAGACAATATTACTACATTTCTTTTCACTGAGATGGGAAAAGAACCTCAGAAATTTATTATCGACTTTCTGCTTTTTTCATTAGGAATAAGAGTTTAAAATGTTTTTACATCTAGTTAATGGAAAAAAAAATAAGTCAGAAAACACCCTATTTCACGTAGCCTTATTTGTAAAGTATCATTTAAAAGAACGTGTTTCTGAAATCAAGTCTTTGACTAAAATTTAACTTTGACTGTGATATTCAAAATGATTAAGGAGATAATGTTGATGATGGTGATTAAATTTTTTTCAAAACAGCCACTGCATGAGGACCTCACAATGTCGTGGTAAGTCAATTAGATAAACTCATTGTTTAATTCTTTTAATAAAATCTACTGTCTCATTAAAATCAAAATGATTGCGCATTATTTTTTTTAATGACGTTAGTTTTTTTCCCAATTACTGACAATCCATTTAATTTTTTTTTATTATTCCTTTTTATAAAGTAATAGTATTATTAATATTAATAAAAAAAACCAAAACAAAAAAAAGAGGAAAGTTAGCTCATTACAATTTCTTACATGTAAGTCAAGGTATAGGTTTAACTCCCATTTTCGAATGAAAATTTACTGTTTATCTTAAAGACTTAATAACACAGAGTTATTCAAAATCGAGTGTACTTAAACAAAAAGTAGTGGTACCAAGAGGCTGAAATATGAAAATATAACTATTAATATATATAAATGAAACCGACTGATTTTCATTTTCTTTCGTCATTGTAAGAAGAATTTTCTTTTGTTAAACCTTTAACATTCATTAATTTTGTTTTAAAATTTACCTCTATTTAAATCTACACGAGAAGAAATCTAACATTTCTAGCGTTACCGAGCGGGCAATAAAAAACAAATCATCGATGCTTAGCAGCTGATTGATCCGGTCGATGAGATTTTTGATCACTTACGTCATACGTAAACGTAGGTGAAAATTTATCCCTTTGTCTTTGTTGGTTCAACGGAACTCAGGTTATATCACGGATGGCAGTATGTATACATGTATGTCCAAAAAAATTAAAATGAACTGTATAACATTTATTGACTGTGTTCTCGTGCGAAATGCGTTTTGTCGACCTTGGAACCAAATTGTCTGTCTTCGGCCTTACGGCCTCAGGCAAACAACGGTTTGGTTCTTGGTTCTGAGAAAATGCATGTTACCCTTGAACTCAGTCTATAAATGTGTATTAATTTCCTGTGTTTTTAAGTACTTAGACATATTTTTTGAAAAAACATGTAAAAGTAATCCAACAATATCCGTTCATGATTATAGACATGTATTTTTATTTTTATTATTTTTTGGGGGGTGGGGGGAGGGGTGTTAGCTTTCATATTCTTTTTTTTTTATCGTTTTATTGTACTTCTTAATTTGATTAAAACTATATTTGATTATCATGACAAAAGGTCCTCAAATATTGTGTAAGAATTACATTTATAACTTTGTTCCCTAATGACAAGGAAGACCTATAACATGCAGTGTGACGTATATTCATACTTCCTTTAAAGTAGGTCACACATCATGTAAAATAGAGAATGTCGTCGACATAATTCTATACATGGAAAACTCTCTAATCCGTCATCTATGCAGTCCGTCACACTGTGAATTCCGACGGAAAATTTCTTTCCAAATATACAAATTTGGATGTTATTTTACACTGTTCAATACGACACCCTCTCTATTCCGACACAAAAATTGTCTTTCAGAGCATGTCGGTTTAGACAAGTGAGATTTCATTTTAAGGTCACACAGCCTGTACCGGCCACGGTTGTCATCACTCTGGTCCCCGCTGTACTCAGATGTTTGTGTTGTTTCTGGCCGACCAGAGTTGTCGTTAATTATTCTGCATGCAGTGTACGTGTACTTTGAAAGGTAGTGTTAACTATTTTCAAAGAGAATTATATGAGAGAAACTTATTCAACAAAGTAACATCTAGCAGACACGTTGCGAATAAAAGGGCAAAAATGTGATATGTCATTGAAGGCATATTTGCTCGAATAAGAAATATATTTATTTGAAGATCATTTTAATATTTGATTCTAAAAAGATATATTTATCATGATAATAACAGTTATTTTTTATTTTTTTTTTTATCATGGTCTCCTATCTAAAAAAAATGTAGCAAAACACGGAATGATTTTTAATAAATGTTACGATTATAAATATTTCAAAAATACAAATTTTTTTCAATATACAGGCAGAAGAAGCAGCATCTATTTGCGAGATTTACGAAGCGGTAGATCAGTCTTAATGGATGTGTCATTTTGTCCTAATCTCTCTTGCAGTCGGGTGAACGGAAAAGATGACAGGGTTAACTAATGAGGTGAATTTAATTCATTATTATTTTATTAATTTTTTTTTTTTCAGTATTCCCGTCTTACTTTTGAAATCGTCTTTAAAAAAAATTTAACAAGAATCCCATTTGATTTTGTCTTATAACTAATGAGTTATAGAAATTCATACCCCCTCCCCCTCTTAACACTGATTTAAGTGCATAGATTTAACATTATCATGTGACTGATTTGAGTATTTTCGATCAAGCGATTTAAGTAATTCTGAATATTATGATACTGTCCGTTTTTTCCCCTTTCTGTATGTATACATGTATAACCAATTTTAGGGGGGGAAACATCATCTATTTGATCATACATCTACTTTGAAAGAAGTTACCAAGTTAAATAAATGACGGTTTCTAATTCTTCCTAAACAGAAAGATATAACCACGAAACAAAACTTAACCCGTGCCCTTATAAAATAACACACTCCCCAACAGGAACGGTTACGTCGTTTCATCATACAATGTATATGACACTTCATAAACAATAAATCAACATTCATCGTGAGTTATGGTTCTTAACACAAATACTAATAAATTACGTCTGTTCCCTTAGTTTTGGTTTGAAGTATTAAATTATCAATGTCTTTATTCTTGCATTCCTAATTCTGAGGGTTGTTAGAGGATTTTACAGATCATGCCTTATTAAAACATTGTGTTTTTTTATATACATCATAGAGTACACGTTAAAGCCAAAATTTGTCCCTTATTATATTGAAAAATTTTGTGGGTATTATAATTGTATAAGTTTTTAGTTCAGAACTTTAAAAGTTGTTTGCTTTTAAAACCAGCACTAATTTGAATCCTAGACTTCCATGAAAGCCACTGGAGTGTGCATTATTAAAATATTTTCCTGATATTGTCTTGTAGAATGTAATCATATATGAGATTCTTTTCTCTTTGGACGACAAGCTTGCCTATATCAGATTTTTACACATAAACGACATCTGGTACTAGTTTATAAAATATATATTTCTCCATTTTATTCAATAATTTATCAAACAACTTTTTAAGGGTACTTACCACAAACAAAAAATGGATGCACGGGTTGATATGTATTTTTTGACTGATTTTGATTTGTAATGACATAAAAAATAAATCCCTGAAATAGAAAGAAAACGTAGGTTTTCCTTGGTGCTTAGATTTGAGATTTTATTTTGCCTTCTATATAATTCCATACAAAATTTTGCTCCATTTTTTAACTTTATGACATAATCTTATAAAATTTTCCGACTCTACTTGTTAAACATTATTCATGTTGTCAATTTAAATGTAAATCTATGAGAAATGATGCTGATTTCTGAAAAAAAGTCAGTTTGTGTTATTTATCTTTAAAGTCCGAAGTATCCAAATTATCATAATTGAATTAAAATTTTACGCAGTTCATTTTACGAAGTTCTTTAAACTAAGAAAAAAACCAACACAATTTATGAACGACAATTAAACAAGGGTATATTTTTCTTAAGGACTGTAAAGTGCAAATGGGGTTGCCCCAACGGACCAAACAGACTAGTGGCGATTCTGACGGTGACATTTCATTAACAGGTACCTGGCGCCAAAGGAAAGGTAGTCTATTTTTAATGTACCATTAATAAAGAAATTGTGTTTGATAATTCCTGTGCGTTTGGTCTTGGTTACTCGTTATTCACACCAATTTTTCTTCAGTTTTGTTTGCCATGGTACTTCAAGAATGAAGTGTACAATGTTGAAACTAATATAATTTAATTATTATAAATCTCTATGTGATTGCTGAATGATTTATCAATATACAATATTGCGTAGCTATTTTTTAATAGGAAATGTAATAATGATGAAAAGAAAGGGGAGGGGGTTATAATAACTAAAAATGTGTGAAATGTGGAGTTGGAATGGTTCATATTTAAAAAGTTTTTTTTCCAGATTCTCAAGTTATATAGCGGACACGAAAGGATGAAATGACTACCTAGACCTTTGATCTTAAGCTGCACAAATAGCTAGGGTCTTTATGAAGCCATCGCTGTATAAAGTGTCAATGTAAAAGCTCTGAGGCTTCTCAATACAGCCTACACCGGATGTATTGAAATTCAGTTGACCATGCAATTTATTTCAATATATCCGTAATTCAATATAAGCGAAATCGTGAAGCCGCCATCTTTACAGGATCAATTCCGATTTAAAATAAAGGAGAACAAACCCGAGCATATTTTGTCATGGTTTAACTATAACAAAGAATAGATTACATAGTCTAGAATACAATTCCCGGAAAATTTAAATATTATTTTTTTATTTCTGTTTCATTGAAAAGACAATCTTCAACCTCATTATTATATTAAGTAAAGGCAAAAGTTCGAAGAAGCAATTTTAAGCACAAAGATCACAGTCAAGGTCACAAGGTCATTGACCTTGGTGTCTGCTGAAAGTGCGTCATTAATGGAGTAAACATACCTTATTAAAAAAAGCCTCTGTTTCTTACGGTTCAAAAGTTATGGCGAAGGTAAAAATTGACAACAGACAGACAAACAGACAGATAAAGAACTAGACAAACAAAGAAAACCAGAAAAACAGGACAAAAACAATATGCGCCCGAAAAAAAAATCGTTTGCATAAAAAGAATAGTTTTCCTTTTGCATCACTTTTCCTAAATTCTTTCAGATTTTGATGAAATGGAGCAAAATCAGACCGTCTTTCTTACAGCTTATTTGGCAGTGAACTTATAAGTATGAGGAATTTTGCTGGACACGTAGCGTATTACGCTTGTGTTCAGATTAACCTCTCCAGAAGAGCCTTTTATCTCGTGGTGGTTGACATGTCTAAAGATCTGGAGGAGAAAGCAATATCACAGTTCCACTAATCGACAGAGTCCCTTGGGAACCTTATTTCACAGCTGGATATTTATAGGTACGTGTAATATCTTTGATAAAGAGCCCGATCTGTTACATAGTTTTTTTTCATATAACTTTAAGAGTAATTTCCATGGCGTTTAAGACGCCATAAATATGTACCTGTATTAAAATTTTAACACTGAACGGGAAAGAAAAGATTATTTTGTGTTTTGGTTGCAATCCTCACAGTTAAGATTATCTTAAAACAGGGTTATAACCAAAAACGTAATTTTGCTCAAATGGATGGAGAATATACCAAACTTCAGAATTCTGCAATTTTTATCGTGAACCAGGATCAGCTTAAGTTTGCCATTGAATAATTAATAACATATTTTCTGTTTTTCTGTCGTATTGATATGCAGATCATTGACTTCTACACTGGTTCTTCAAACCACATCTAGTCAATCTGCATTATATAACCCCCCCCCCCAACAAACAATAATTGAATGTCCACTGGGAAAATTGAATAAAAACCAGGAAGACGCATTCGAACAAGTCAGAATAGGAATTGCTTATACAGCAAAAGGTCTTTCGAATTGGACTGAAAAAAAACTTCCACATATGTTTCAGCAGCTTGTACAAGAACACAGAATACAGAGAATTTTACGTAGAGGAAGCTTAAAAACAGAGAAAGAATTTACTAGTAGGTTTCTAGACGAAAATGAGCTTGATGATATGCTAAGATACTTTTCGTAGATGAGACAGATAATATATTTCTCAGAAAAAGGTCTGAGGCACAACATAATATTAGACGTTGGATGGTTTGTTGACGCCTTTAAAAATATCGTAACAGACCCTGTGATTCACACACCCTCACACAAAACTAAGAAAAAAACATTTTCATGAAGAATTTAAATATTTTAGGTTCAACATGGTTAGTGTAATAGAAATGATAGGAGGAACCCTATTTATTTGTGTGAAAAGGATAATTTAAAACCATATATGGAAAAACTTGCGAATATGAAAACATAAGAAAAGTTGAGGTGAAGGACGCTTTCGTTTGGGCAAACCGTGTATCGTTGTCGTGCAAACCGTGCAGTATCAGTAAACCTTGACTTCACAACAAAAGGATTTGATTTCTTCAACAACTGAAATAAAAACTCGATTTTGAACTTTTTTTTAAAACATTTATTCCACACTTCTTTCATTTAAGACTTGTCGCTAAATATTTTTCGAAGTGGGAATTATTAAGTGAGGACCGGTTTTGTAAAATATATTGCTTCTTACAAGGAAAAGGGGGGGGGGGACATGTAAAATTGTATTAGTATTTTAAAACATATTGAATTAGCAATGCTTGTGATATTTTAGACGATAAAATTAATCTAACAAAAGGCAATACAAAAACAATCAGAATTCAAATTAACATTTGTTTGTTTTCTTTTCCTTAAAGATTGTGTTCACCAAGTTCAACTATAAGTTGTACCAATTTTAGAGATATAAATATCAATATACTAAAACGAGCAATGCTTCTAATCAGAGAGAACAGTTGCAGAATTAAAGTAAATTAATGAGCGAGTTTAATTTTTTTTTTTATTTAAAGCAAAAAATATATCAGCATCGAATTGTTCTTTACATTTAAAGCTACATTATTTGTGACACGGTGTGTCATTTAATACTTTTTACATTAAAAGTTTTTGCTCATTATTGTCAATATATATTTTATATTTTAATTCACATGAAATAAAATGAGAAACGAGAGGGAAATCGTTGTTTTAAACTACCCATGTCACAAAAATTAAGGAAATACCAATAGATAACTGTAAAAACTAAATGCTTATATATTTTTAATTATATTTTATGATAGCCTTTGTTAAATTGATAGCAGAGCCATATCTTCTTGATGTTTGGACATAAAGGACATCTTCTTTCAAATGTAATTAACATTTCAAGGTCATTTACAAACAAGCTATACTTTCAACTTTTAACCTGTTTTTTTTTTGTTTTATGTTTGTGGTCTATCTAAATATGACATTGAAAATTGATATGTATTGATATTTTTTAAAAAATAAAACGGTTCAATAAATATTTAATGGGTACAACTTATAAATCAGCGAATTTCGTCTTTTATACGAAATCTGAATTTCTAGCCATAAACAGTAAAATAAACAGAACTGATGTGGTAGTATTTTCATGAAGATAAGGTAAGAAAAGCTTAGGAGTAAATCATGAATAATTGTATATTATTAGTTTTATAAATCACGTACTTGTTATTTCATCTAAGATATTTCAGTGTTCTTTTAATAAACCTGAATGCCGGTGTAAAGATCGATCTACATTGTATGTACAATGTATAGTCAAATGCCGCGACTATATTAATTAATGTACATGTACACATATATACATATGTTAAGTCGTGTTTTGAAATGAAGAATTTTACAGTATGTGTATACTTGTTATTTGATAAGCTTCATGTTAAAAGAGAAAGAGAATAAAAATAGTTAAGACATCACATTTATCCCCCTCTCCATTTACCAGTTTCCCTCCTATATAATGCTTACGTAAGTAATTTAAAAATGTATCAATAATAGAATATGTAGAGTATATAGGCAAATTTTATTACTACATGTAAATCAAAATCAAGAAAAATAATCTGCCTACGGAAAACAAACACAATATAATCAATGTTATCTGAATCAATGAGTTCATATTCCTGCAGGAGAAATTCTTGTTTGGTTTCTCAAAAAAAAAATTAAATGACTTTGCTGAAAATGTCTTACATTGAAATGAATGATAATATATTCAAAAAATTCTTTTATCAAAAACATTTATGATATCGCGCATTTCTAATTTTAAACCTTTGGATAAATAAATAAATGAAATGAAAATTTATTTATTAATTACAATGTCTGAATATTAAAAATTTGTTGTGCATATATAAAGCTTTCACATGATATTTAATTAAAACGCTGCTAAATGTGTCTTTGGGTCGATTTCCATTTTTATATACACACTGGCAGTGTACGTGGCAAAATCAATCGAGGAGTTTTGCCAAATCATAATTTATTTAATTAAACTATTGTTAGTTGTTACCCGATATTTTTCATTAGCACCTTCAAAGTTTGGCTTCTCGGCGTGTCAATCATCAATCGCCTCGAGGTAAACAATGCAATCAAGCATAGTGATTGAGCTTGCAGACAATACCAGATTATGATTACCGTTTATCCAAGTAACCTTCCTTCGATGCATACATTGTTTTCATTTGAATAAAATGCGTGAATACTCCATTTCTTTTATTCAAAATAAAATAAAAATAATATTTAACATTGTGCAATGTCTATGTGATTGCAAAACCACGATTTTTTTCATTTCTTTCACTGTAAAACAAGAATATTTGGCGCACTACTACAGTAATTTAAGTGCCTTTGGCGCAAGAACCCCTGAACTCTAAAATTTATTGTACGCTAACGGAATTCTGAATATTATTTTGTTGTGCATATTCAAAGCTTTCACATGAGTATATGAAAACCGGAACGCGCAATTACGTTTTACAGTCTATATGGGTAAAATTGGATTTCATATAAAATCTAGCAGAAGTGTAATATTTGGCAGAATGTGTTGTATAATGTTCTTTTTTTTCATTATTAATTTAAAAAATAAAATTTTAAAACAATGAAACTGCAGTTAATTACTTTGAACTAAAAATTACATGGAAAAACATAACTAAACACACAATTGCCTTCCATTTAAACAATGCAATCAAGCATGGCGATTGAGCTTGCAGACAATACCTGATTATGATTACCGTTTATCCAAGTAACCTTCCTTCGATGCATGCATTGTTTACATTTGAATAAAATGCGTGAATACTCCATTTCTTTTACTCTAAATAAAATAAAAATAATATTAAACATTGTGCAATGTCTATGTGATTGCAAAACCACGGTAAAGTTGACGATTTTTTACTTATATATGGGAGTGATAGAATTGTATTTCCGTGCTTGACTAACCAAAAAGTCAAATACAGGCGTTGATTTAAAAAATTGTATAATATTTATATATTCTAATGACAAGTGCAGCGCTAAAATTTATTTGCGCCAATGTGTTACCAATTGCGTTTGCGCTAAAATACATA